ATAAAGTATTTAGTTTAGGATGTTCTTACTCTGCAATAAAGACACTTCGTCGAATAAACTCGCTGCAACGTTTGGGCTCCCCCAGATGATCACAGACCAGACCAAGATTGAGGAAGAGACGGGCTTTCATCTCACTAATCTCTCGCACTGACACAGTCCCTGGAGGTAAGAAAACAATGTTAAAACAAACAGCTAATACAAAATCTAAATAACTAGATCATTCAATACGCTCCATAACAATCCCAACACACTGACAAACACTACAGACCTTCTAGACGGTCATCAACAATGGCCAGACTCTTCCTGAAGGCGTCCTCTGCTTGCTCTAAACTGTTCTTTGATTGGTCTGATTCATAACGGAAGAGGTAGGTCCGACCAATAGTGGCCAGCGCCCTTTGCTCCTCAGCGTGATCACTGACAGAGCGAGCCAGGTCCAGGTGACACCGCTGGTGCTGAAAAATACACGCAACACTTTACATGCCTCCTTAACATCCTTGTAGGATTTCAATGTGAGTCTGTATGCTGTCCCCTATCTACCCATTTTGAGGTTTAATGCCCACAAGCATTTCGAATAAACCAGACCAATCTACTCACTTTTAAAGCAGCCTCAATGTTTCCCATCTCCGCGTAGCACTCTCCTATCTTACGGTTAGCCACAGCTCGTCCGATCACATCGTTTAGCACCTCAGAGAGCGCCAACTCCTGCTGGTGCTCCCTAATGGCAGCCTCATAATCACCTGTGATACGATAAGGATCAGACAGGACAAAGCTATAAAAAAATACATGTAGAAGACACTATTACACTTTCAAAATAAGAGGAAAAAATAAAAAGTAGTAATCAAAAGAACAATACTGGGATTATGCAACACAAAGAAGGAATTTACATAGAGTCCAAATACAGTTGGTATGGTGACAAATAGGGGAAGAAATAGGAAAGTGCTTTGAGGACAGCTGGACTGATTTAATAGCTGTAGTTACTCCACATGGAGAGGTGTTTAAATCCATAAGGAGGCAACATCAGAAGAAAAAGGAAAAGACAGTGGCGTGTAGGTCTGAACAGCTTCAACATTAGAGATTATGCTTCTAAGCTGCTGACTGAAAACTACTTAAAACTCAACAGTATTGGGCTTTATTATGTAAAGTGATTGTGAATAAATAGTTTAAAAGCTAGGAGTTGTGTTTACTTACATCACCTCTGTCACTATATTTCCCAGAATGGTGAGTAACTGTATAATCTGCATGATCTGTGTCATGCCCATATCCCTGTGTTGTATAAGATAAATGCCTTCTGCACAGATATCATATTACTGACACATTTCTCCGTCAGACAGTAAATTCAATCTAACAACATATGTTAAGACGACCCTGTGCTATATGACTTACCATTTCTGGACAGCAGCTCTCCTAGTTGATTGCAGATGTTGCCCTCCTCTTTTAAGTTGTTGCTGTTCTGCGCTTTGCTCTTCGCTTTCTGCAGCTCTGCAGAGTAATCACACACACACACACACACACACACACACACACACACACACACACACACACACACACACAGACAGAGAGAGAGAGAGAGAGAGAGAGAGAGAGAGAGAGAGAGAAGTGTAAACAATCGAAACAGAGGAGGGGGGTTACAAACGCCTTTTCAGCTCACAAACACCGTGCAAGTAAATCGACACTTACGTTTTATCTCCCGTGAAGAGCTCATCTTGATTCAGGTCAAAGCACTGAGAGCTAACAGCTAAACTTACAGCTGGTAGTAAATGACAACGTAGCGCGCTGCAGTTAGCTCAGCGCTAGCTCAACGGAAACCAACTGCCACATCATAAATGAACAAAACAAACCAGACTTTCTCACTTAATGTTCACTGATTCACTTGTTTGCTTGTTCGTTAATGCTCCTGCTGTCATTTAAGCCTCCGATCGTGTTCGATGTCTCATCAAACAGCGCTACATTATAAACATGTCAGTAAACATCTTCTTGCTGTAGCTATCGGTCCTCAGTCAACTTTACAAAGCCCCGCCACTACTGCGTGAGCCAATGACTTCACTGCACTGTAAAGGGCATTTTATGCCCCTAATCACAACCTGTCAGGCACCTATCCCTCCTCGATCACTCGGGTTTAAAGGTCGTGTATCCGACCTTGCCCTCAACCCTTATCATCTGCTTTAACCTAGCACTTAAACATAACGCATTTGATTTGTTGACGTTTCTGTGGACGGTGTATAACCTGAGTACGGAGCGTGCCTGTCTGTCTGACAGACAAAGTTCAGGGCAAAATTAAACCATGAAGTTATGCCAGCAGTTCATTGGCTAACGTGGTTCCACTAAGAGACTGGAGGGAGAAGCAGAGGGGCAGGAGCAGCACAGGGGCAGCACAGGGGCAGCAGCAGCAGCAGAGGGGCAGGAGCAGCACAGGGGCAGCAGAGGGGCAGCAGAGGGGCAGCAGAAGCAGCAGGGGCAGCACAGGGGCAGCAGCAGCAGCACAGGGGCAGGAGCAGCACAGGGGCAGCACAGGGAAAGCAGAAGCACAGGGGCAGCAGCAGCAGCAGAGGAGCAGCTTCTTTCTTTAAAAGTTTGATATCCCGCAGATAGAGCTATAGTACTGCACTGACAGAAGTGACAAGTAGTAGTTCCTGATGCCTGGTCTGACTCTACTGTAAGTGGGCCAAGTCAAGTCAGTCAGGTACCAAGGTAAAAGAGGTAAGACTCCCTTTAATCCCTGAGCCTGTTTTGAAGAGTCACATCTAAAGCCCATGTCACTCTGAATGATTTCTGTTTTATTTATTAAAGAAGAAGCAACAGGTGAATAAGGTAAAACATTTAACTGATAGATATCATCACCATTAAACTCCCCCAGTTGATTGCTTACATTAACAATTTTTCTTAACTTTTATGTGTAAATTATGCAATTGCAGTCATTATCTAATGAAAAATGTGCTAATTTGCTCCGTTTACCCCTTCAGAATATTGTTAGGAATAAAACTGTAAGGTTTTGGTGTATGTACGTGCTGCTGAAGTGGAAAGTTCTGGTTGTTTTCTTTCCAGGAGTCTGATAGATAGATAGATAGATAGATAGATAGATAGATAGATAGATAGATAGATAGATCAAAGAAATAAAGAATAAAAGAATAAAAAACAATAAGTTAACATGTAAGAAAATAAGAATATATGTGTTATAAAAAGCAAAATGGCCCACAATGTTTTTGCCTGTAGAATATAGCCTTAAAAGTTCAAGGTAAAAAATACTGAGAGGTAATCCTTGGGAGCCATTCTTTCCAGGAAAAATAAAAAAAAACTTAAAGAATTTGAATTTTCACACCTAGCATTAAACCACTCCAGTAGCTGCCAGCAGTTCCTCAAACAACTCTGATTGGCAAGAATACAAGCACAAAGCTTGAAGCCTGCAAATATGGATTCTTGGTGATCTTGTAATTTCATAATCTCACGAATCCAGCTGCCTCGCAAGGTGGTGAAATGTCAAAAGATAAGTAAATATTACTCTTGTGCCGAAATTATAGTGTGCAGACATATTTAAGTTTGTTGTATGTTTAGTTTAAACAAATAAATATTTGCCGATGTGTCGTTCTAAGATGATTTCCTTATTTTGACACATTTTCTTAGCCAATAAGTATTAAACTAACAAGGTAATGTGTCAAAAGGCGGACCTTTTTTGTTATTTTCTCAAAAGGAGGACAAATGATGGCATTTAGAAGCCGGACTGTCCGGCCTAAAGCCGGACGAATGGGGCTGACTGCAGTTAATGAGCCTAGAGGCATACGCACAGGAAGCACAACTGCCTGTGCTTAACCTAAGGTTTCTCGTGAGCACGAGAAACGTTTCATTTTTATTTTTTTTCCCATGTCCCTTTAGGGGCTCCGTAGGTTTACATCAAAACATTTTATTTTCTTTCTTATTTTGCATGTAAAACCTTTTATTAAACCCAATATTGCAGGATAGAGTTTTCCCAGGTTCATGTACTGCCTGTAAGTTCATTGCTTCCAAAGTAAAGAAGCATCTGGGCAGGGATCATTCAAAGGTAATGAATACAAAATATACTTTAAAATAATATACTATATTCAGAGCCTGACTGAGCCTCCCAAAACAAGTTAAAAATATGAATTCTCACTGGGCTCTTGTGTTCACATTTCCCTATAACTGAATTATTGAATTACCCCGCAGAGTCCTTCATTTTGCTTAATTCTTGCAGACACACAATTTTTGTTTAGCGGCTCTTTAACTTTCCTTACCCCAGATGATGCATGGTACAAAGTCAGTTTTTCAGTTTGTCAGATTAACAATATATAACGCTACCAGAAACCCCAAATAACCCTAACCTCTTACCCTAAAGAAAAATAGATACCAGATACCTATAAAAATGTATAAATATGGGGTGATAATCACTCAAAATATTGAATATAGAAGAGTTCAAGATTGTAAAAATATAGTTTTATTAGTTATATACACAAATGCAGCAGAGAAAATAACAAAATAAAACTAATACAGTCTGTTTAGATGTGAAGTGATTTTTTTAATGCATTTTCATGGAAAGTCTATATATGCGTGTAAATCACTAAAAATATTCCTTCAAAGTTGTAGAATCTTTTTCTTTTAGAAATAAATGAGCACTTGAGAAATGAATTATGACGTATAAATAAATGATCAAAGAGGCACTGTCTACAGAAAAAATATTAGCGATAACAGACTTTGTTTTAGTTGTAAATCAACCCACATTTTCTGGTGGCTTGAAGTTGAAGGTTGAGTTTTAACATTGAGTAATTATAATTTGATCCATTATAGTAATTTCAGTGCAGTTATTTATCTGCCTTTATTTCTTTGTGGAGGACAATCTGAGTAGTACATGGACCCATACCATCAGAAAGTATATATTGTGTTAGAAGTGTTGATTCTTAGGATTTGCCTATATTTGTATGCTGAATAAGACCAACATCACCATTAATGAGTAAAAAACGTGTGTCAAATATTTCATTTGTGTTTACTTAAAGAAAAAAATCGAAGAGCTGCTGAACAGGGCCTGCAATGGAGTGAAAATAATCTTAAGATCTGCCTGCAAGTCGATCGTCAACAAGTTCCAACAAAAACTGATCAACGCCTTAACAAAGCTAAAGAGTCCCAGGGAAATATGTGTTTATCTGAAACTCTGCAAGAAGAATGAACCTTCATAGATATAACATATAATGCATCTACATCAAGTGTACTAGCAATGTTTCTGACTGTTTCTGTGTGCATATTGTTTTTTTTTTGCCTTTGTAATAAAGCTTTTCTGAAGTGGTTGTATTTCCATCTGCAGTGATGTAATTCTTCTCATACTCTTTGGTTTTTTTCTCTCACACAACTGATAAAAGCGGAGAGAGTTTAATGGGTAAAAATGTTTAAAGTCCAAGTCTATTCAACGTCAGGCTTATGCTACTGTAGATACATTATAAACCTACAAATAAAATCATTACATTTTCTCTTGTTTCCCCTTCTTATTCAAACCTTTAACGATTTGAAGGTTTGAGAATCCAGCTAAGAAATAGTCCTTTAGTTTTAGTACAGATCGCTTTTGTACACATCACATTAATAACCATGAAACCTGGTTTAAAATTTGGTCAAAATCTGTGTTCTTGTGGGCAGCACCCACTTTATACCCTTTGGTTTCATACTAAAAAACCTTCACAACTAAGGACATTCCCCTCAGCCACAGCCATGCTTTGTGTTTAGTGCAAGTAGGCAAATGTTAGCATTTTCATGTAAGCCTGTTAGCTGACATTAGCATTTAGCTCAATTACTGCGACTACAGAGCTGCTATGATGGTGGGAGTTTGTTACACTACTTTGCAAGTTGTGAACTCACAACTTAAGGTCACATAGAGGTCACAAACTGGGTGCTTTTATTGTCTTTAATCAATAGCTGAAGAATGACAGGAAAGAGATAGGGGATGACACGCAGCAGAGGGCCACTGGTCGGAGCTGAACCCATGGCTGCTGCAGCAACGACTCCAGCTCCACCAGGTGACCTACTTGGGCACCCCATAATGAAATATTTCAACAATATTTGAAACATCAAAATACCTCAAACAATTTTGCATTAAACATTTAAATCCAAATGAGCTTATAGCTGAGGAAAAACCATCGTCCTCGTCTGTTTGAGGACAACACACATGAATTGTTTCGTAATGCTCGGTTCAATTTGAAAATAAAGATTTTAATCTTATACACACAGATAACAGAACTTTGTGGCTAACACTGTGGCTCCAACATACTATTTCCTGTACATTAACTGGAACAGATGAGTAATAAGTAGGTTGTGTGAAGATGGTCTCCAAAAACCACTTTGAATTTCTGTCTGTGGAAGCTTGCAGGAGTGTTGCAGTGTAGCCCCTCACTGCTGCTGGGTATAAAAGGTGTGTGTTACAACAGATGCACATACTCACCGCTCACTGCCAACAATGGAAACCTCTTCGGTCCTCCTTGTGTGCATCCTGGTTACATGTTCTGGTGAGCTACACCATTTTTGGATTCTATAACAATCCTCTTTATCCTGTAATTTATCATTTATAACTTTGACATGTATTTGTATTTTTTCTCTTCACAGTCTGGACAGTCCATGGGAGAAACGTAAAGGTCAAGACTGATGATCAGGTGGACGTGCAAATCTCTGTGGAGGCTGACAGGGTAATGTGGCTGCTTTAGTATATTCATATTCAGATATCAGATGATAAAATGTAAAAGTAAAAGTCCTGCATGCAAAGTCCTTGTAAGTAAAAGTATAGAAGGAGATTTATTTAGAAGTACTTAATCTGTAGAAAGAACTGTCATTCACATATTAGTACTGATTCAACAACGTGTAAGTAGCATGAAAGATACTGGAGTTTATCTCGTTGGGTATCGAACAGTTATTTAAATCAAATTATCTGAGAACTTCAACTAACTAGATGCTGATTTTCTGTCATGACATGAGAACTGGAACTGGTTTCATCTTTAACAATATGTTGTATTTTATCAAGTATCTGTGTGTGAAATGGCTCCATGTATGGTCCGTGTATGTTTTGGTCATTGGATTTTCCTTTCAGAAACGGGTATTAAAAAACTGAAAACGAGTGGTTATTTGATTTTCGTTTTAAAATACAAAAATGAAAATTGAAATACAAGGCGTTTTTCTTTTTCATGGTCAAAAAGGGATGAGCGAAATAAAAAAAATTATTCGATTTTCATTTTCTATTTCATATAACAAAAAATAAAATCACTAGAAAACAGGGTAATCCGTGTATGTTTTGGTCATTGGATTTTCCTTTCAGAAACGGATATTAAAAGACAGAAAACGAGTGGTTATTTGATTTTCGTTTTAAAATACAAAAATTAAAATTGAAATACAAGGCGTTTTACTTTTTGTGGTCAAAAAGGGATGAGCGAAATTAAAAAAAATATTCGATTTTCATTTTCTATTTCATATAACAAAAAATAAAATCACTAGAAAACAGAAACGGAAAAAAGGCCTGTTGTTTCATATTCTGAGACCGGATGTTGTCATTTACAGGACGGTGCTGTGGAGAAGAAACAGTAGGCTAGTAGACTGCGGTCAATCCAGCCGTGAGTCCGATTTCCGTGGTCAAATCAGCCGCACTTAAATTTAGACTGTACAAGTATTCTCAGCATTATGGTAAATGCGGAGAAACAGCGTATTTACTTCCGGTTTTCAAAATAAAGGTATTTAGAACAGTAAGCTATAATTAAAATATGTTACATTAAAGTGTTTCATGCGCCCCTGATGAATAAAAAAACACTTTATATCAAGTATCTTTACTGCACCAGTGTGGAGAAATGCCAAAATAAAAGTCTCATATTTATGCCTCCAGAGATTGCATATTTGACCATATTTGAGGTACTGTAAAAACATATTGCTCAGTGTTTCCTGGCTACTGATGGTATATTTGACTTTTACACATATGAGACTACAAACATACTTAATATCAAGCATTTTTACTGTACAAATTTGGAGAAATTCAACAATAAAAGTCCCATATTTGTACCTCCATGTGGCATATTTTCATATATTTGAGCTACTGTAAAAACACTTTGCTCAATAATTCCTGGCTATGGATGGTATATTTGACTTCTACACATCTAAGACTACAAGTATACTTAATATCAAGCATTTTTACTGTACCAATGTGGAGAAATTGAAGAATAAAAGTCCCATATTTATACTTCCAGATTCCATATTTTCTTATATTTGAGCTACTGTATCAAATCACCACTCATTTTTTAATACCCCTTTCTGAAAGGAAAATCGAATGGCCAGAACATACACGGACCATATGTGCTTACAACTACATTTTGATGTGTTATAAACCATTTATTAGTTAATATGCTGTGTAGTTAACATTATCCCACCACATAAAGCGTTTCCATCGGTTAAAGTATCATTTTTTAGGACTCATCCCTCAGTAATAACAATATATGTCACTTTAATCCGTCTTTTCTTTAATCTGCAGGGTCCAGGTTTGTGCAAAGCGTGCAAGGAGGCTTTAAAAAAGGTGAAGAAAGACATGGGACCGAACGATACTAAAGAGGTAAAATAAAATGTGTAAAAGATTGGTTATGGAAGGAACTGTGGAAGGAACATTGATGTCATTTCTACTCTTACAGAACATGCATAAAAAGCTGTTGGCCGCCTGCAACCAAATCACCAGCCTCCAGAAAACCGATTGCCGCAAATATGTGGAGAAACACCTCGAGGAATTAATCAAGGAGCTCAACACCCCTGATGATGTGGAGACAATCTGTCATAAAACTGGAGCCTGCACGTGAGTCACCAGCCAGCCTTTATATTGTTTAACCAACAATATGACCTAAAATATATACACAACATTAATTACTCATGATTTAGCAACAACAACAATAGATATAAATACTCTTTCTTTAAACACATATTCCCCAGTTGTATAAGTATTTATATATATAGTCTAAATGTAAACATTTGAAGGGATAATATACTTTCTACCTCATTACATTTCTCTATATAGTATGTTTGATTATTTTAGATACAATAAGTTTGTTACATATAATGCAGTTATAGATTCAATTACCTAACACAATATGAAGTAATTAAAATGAGCTACATCTATAGCTCTATGATCATACAATGGTATGTTAAATACAATACTGGTAGGGGCCATTCTGTACGTACTCTGTACGTACTTCTTCCACCACTGATACTCCATTATTGTAATTAATTTGATCTTTTCCTGCTTTTCTAATGTGCTGTCTTTAGCGCGAAGGAGATGTTGGACCTGCTCGAGGATTCACAAATTGAAATGAATGAATATGCCTGGGGTTGAATGCACAGATAATGACTAACTGCACATACGATTACGATCAACAAGCATTTTCACCTCGTTTTTTTTGTAACTGTATTCTCTTTGCAATTTCCCTTGTGCCTTTATTTACTCTGCATTGCCTGTGATGTCATGTTTATTGTGTATCTGTGCATTAATGATCAATAAACATTTGCATTTCAAATCTTATGTTTATTCTTTGTGTCAGTTTAAAATTGCATCTCCACCCCAACTGTTAAATCCTGATAGTGATAAACTCTCGCACTTCGGTTGAGAGACTGAACACTGCTTTGACACTTTTTTTTACAAACCTAAAAAAAAAACAAAAAAACCCTCAAACGTGTCTGTTGCTCAAGTCTCAGGCATAAAACAAAAAACAAGATCTTAACATCATACTCTCAGGAAGTCAGATCTTGTTCGTGTCAAGTTCAAGACGACCAAAGAAATGTTGTTGGGCGCTGTTAATGCCAGTTCTCACAAAATGTTTTCAAAAAGATAAGACCCTCACTTGCAGTATGTGTAAAATAGGTCCTACATACATGTGAGAATGTCTCAGTTCAGTAGTATACTGGCAGAAGAATAGGCCTATTTAGATCTTTAATTTAAATTTAACATTTAAAGTAGCATATAAAAGTATTAGCAACAAACGGTGCTTAAATTATCAAAAGTTAAAGTACTCATTAGGCAGAATGGCTCCTGTCATTGTAATGCTACTGTATCAGAATATTATGTTATTATTATTACTATAACTAACATTAATGTTGTAGCTGGTTGAGGTGGAGCTCATGTTAACTACCATACTTTATATACATTACTATTTGGTAGTTCAACCTTTAACAATGTATAATATTAGAAATCTGTAGTAAGTAAAGCTGCCAGACAAATGTTATGAAGTATAATGTAGAAGTTAAAGTATGGAAATACTTTAAAAGTATAAAGTACATCAAAATTGATCCATGAAGGTGAGGGATTGGTGAAATAAACCTCTAAACCCTTCACTAAACAGATTTAAGTAAACACCAAGCAACTGATATTAACCAAAGCCTGTTTTTATATGCATGCACAGAATTGTGCCCACATCCTCATCACAGATAAATGTTGGTACCAGAGGTTTCAGTATATAGAAAACATATCTGGTGATATTGTATATTTGTAGCCACGATTCTAAACATAGTATTATGGTGCTGAACAACATTGTCACTTGTGAACGGGTTACCTTGCTGACTTCCTCTGTGTCATAGAGATTCATTGTATGTGAAAACATATCAATGAACCACATGTGATATGGTACTTCATAAACTGCACTGCTGCTGGAAACATGAAAGATTTACACCTTCAATAGGATTCAAAGGTCTCAGGGCCACAGAAGGGCCGGGGAAGTGGGAAAGTATTGAGAGATAGACAACAAAAATATATAATATCCCCAGCTTTATTCTTGAATAGATTCACATTTAAGTTTACATGAAACATGAAAATAAAAGCTGAATTATTCCAATTATTTTGTCATACATCAAGCACAAACAATTTAATGTTAATATTGGTGGCTTTGGACATTTCCTGTGGGAGCAAAAATTGAATCGGAGACTGTCCAATTGACAACCTTACAAAACTCAAGCAGGCAAAGCTACTTACGTGTAATTTCTTGAAAACGGAAGTGGGCAAGAGTAAGTGCTTTTATTCACCTAATCAGTTGGCAGATCACACCTATCGTCATGTTAAATCTTGAAACTTTACAGCCACAAAACTGACAGACACATTTAGCGGTAATGTGTGTGAAGGTGCAGCAGGTTTGACGTAGAATCTTAATTAGAAATACTTCTTTCATACAGAAGAAAATGGCCTTTGGAAAGACAAAAACATGAGTCAATTTAATTGTTTTTTTTAATACAGTGGGTAGACGACAAAAGGTACATTATGACACTGACATGCACTTAAGACTTTAACAGATACACATAAACAAGGCGAACAAAATACATGAAACATATAAGCCATTTACACAGAACATGTCACTGGTAATCTTTTTAGTGCAGTTTTGAAGATTTGAGTCCGCAGCCTCAAGCTATCACTGCTGAACAAAACCTTAAAAAGAATAGCACCCTTATTGTAAAAGTTGCGAGTCAATAAAACAAGTTTGCTACTGATGGCTCAAAATTCAGTGTATGATAAACTTCCTTCCTCGTGAGGAGGCTGCAGCAGAGAGCAGGCACTTGCTGTCTCGGTCAATGAAATGTCCACGTGACCGATTGCTGTCCCAGCTCTGCTTTAAGGCCTGTCGGTCCAGCTTGTTGAGTCCCTGAGAGCAAAGACGGAGATCCTGGACCAGCTCTGACAAACCATCCAGACCTGCACTGTCCCAGGGGCCTGACACCTCACAACCTGTGGATGAGGCAACAAGCAGAAATTAAAAGTGTATACTTGATTCTCCCACTGTTCTTTCTTAAGATATACTGTAGTTTCATTTTTACTACGAATGACTGAATAGTTTTGTTTATAGTCATTTAAATGACCCAGTCCTAATGGAATTATTCAGACACATTAATCAACAACAAAGCAAACACACTGATCTGTATACTCAAAATCACACAGTACAGTACAATACACTGACTGTACAAAAGGCTTTTATTTTGAAGGTGCGTTTAGGAAAGTGACGTAATCACCCCGTGTGGCGCAGTGAGCCGCTCAACCTACAGCCGAGTCGACGGACTTTTTTCCCTTTCATGCCTTTCACACCTGGACACACCTTTGGGGACTTTTAGTGTATTTTTCGCCTTTAACTCAGGTTGTTTTTGTTTGGAGTGTGTTTTTTATTGTGCTACTCCGAGTGTTAAGTGGATGCACGAAGTAAGTATTGTTTCTATATTGTGTTAATTACGACGCGCCTCGTTAACTCTTGTGTGTTTTTTTTCCCGCCGATAGGTAACAGATGATTGTTCATGAGTATAATGTGAATGTTGATGCTTATGAGTGGTTTAAGTGTCCATTGAGCTACGAGTTGGTAACTTGACTTAGTTCAGGTGGTTAATTGCTCAGTAGGGGGCCGACATGTGCGCCATGTGCCATCGTTTATTTAATACCCGGTTTAGCCAGTAGATGGAGCTATTGGACCAGTTAACCTATTATTATGGTGAATATGTATTTCTGTTGGGTTATTTATGTCATTATTGTTGTTGCACATGTACAGGAGAGTTGTATATATTTTTCTGTTTATGTAAGCACATTTGTTATTATGGAGATGAAGGTATAATGTGATTTATTATTATTATTATTATTCCCAGAACTGTGACAACACTGAGTGTGCAATAAATCACCGCAGTCATCAAATCTGCTGGCAAAGGAAACATATCCTGTCCTCATTCCTGTGTCCTGACCGACACTGCATCTTGTTCCTGTATAAACCTGAACGAGCTAGCATTCCTTCCCTCACAAACATTGGTCCTTCGAGCCGGATACAGCCTTCAAGATGCAGTCAGATGAAGAGCTCCTCGCTGATGTGAGACCCAGGCGTCAGACACGTCGACCTGCCAGGCTCCAGGATTATGATGTGGACTACATGAGAGATCGTCCTCGAGACTCAGCACAGTGGCGACCTCTCCCCCTCCCCCAGAGCAGACTGCCTTCCTCCCCCAGTATGGTCCAGTGAATCTGAGTCACCTTTAAGCGCCCAGTATACTCGACGCACTCGAGCTGTCGCGCGACAATGTGACGTCAAAATGACGTCGATCTCGCTGGCGCGCCAGGATTTTGACCCGGAGCTCTTACAGCGACCCCTCCCTCTATCCTGACATCAGAGCCATCCAGGAAGAGAACGCAAAGCTGCTACAATCCCAACAGGTTTTTCAGTCTACCTTAAAGGAACTCCATGACGCACGGAAGGAAATGAAGGAGCTAATTGATGTAGCCCGCTCATTGAGGGAGGATATGGAACGGCCTACTGGCTCAGCTTCAAGTCACAGCAGCTACAGACCTCTGGGAGCCAGTGCTGCAACATCCCAGCCCAATCCCATTTCACTACAGCCTAAGGAAGAAGCTGAGGAGGACTGGCCTGCTCCTCCACCCTGGCCGGAACCTGAGGATAACCTGCCAACAGGCAGGCATGAGTGGTCTCAGCCTGGGGCAACAAGACAGACACCAGAATCACCCTCCTCACAGTTCCCCAGATCAAGCCCAGTCAACCTATAAGCCCCCTACGTTCGCCTCACCACATCATCAGCTCACCCATCCTACCCCCTATGACCAGGACCTGCCTCATCCCCTGGTGCAGCCCTCTCAGTCACTCTCTCACCCTGCTCCTGCCTATACAAGCTTGAGACCCCCACTACTGCCACAAGCAGTCCCTCCCCCAACAGCCACCAGGGCGACGCCCAGCTCTCTCCCCACTAACCACCCGGTACAGGCTCCTGTGTCAGAACTAGTGTATCGAGGCCCCAAACCTACAATCCCCAAGCTCATTCAGCCAGACCCCAGTGAGTTCGCTAGACTCCGCCTTGCCTTGGAGAATCTACTCCCCCCAGACTCTGCCGAGCTCTTCAGGTACCAGATCCTTGTGGATCATTTGAAGTTGGAGGAAGCTAAGCTAATAGCTGACGCTTATCTCAATTCACCAACCCCCTACACTGACACAATGAGAGCTCTGTACGACAGATTTGGCCAGCCTCATCAGCTAGCTTTAAAGAAGATAGCTAGTGTCCTAGAAGCCCCTGAAATCAGACGTGGTGACTCTGCAGCATTTCAGAGGTTCTCTCTTCAGATTCAAACCTTAGTGGGTTTACTCAAGACTTTAGGCCCAGAGGGAGCGATTGAACTCAACTGTGGCTCCCATGTAGCTCGTCTCCTGACCAAGCTTCCAGCGGAATAGAGAGCTGACTTCCGTCGCCATCAGTTCAAGCAGCCTGGGACCTCACACACCCTGCATGATCTGTCAGAATGGCTCAGCTACAAGTCCTTGTGCATGAGCTTTGACAGCCAAGTCAGTACAAGAACCAACAGGGAAAGACAGCCTCCTAGGCCTGATACTCGTCCTGGGAAACACATGGTGACGGTCCTACACGGTCTCGGAGAGCCGGCTGAGGACGTCTCTACGTCCAATCCTGTGAAGAAGATACCTCCCAGGAAAGCCTACTGTGCATACTGTCAGAGTGACGAACATTACCTCAGTCAGTGCAGTGAGGTCGCCAAACTCTCTAAAGAGCAGCTCAGGGAGTGGATTCAAGTGAACAAGCGGTGCTGGCGCTGTGCGCGGAACCACCAAGCAGCTCAGTGCACGCTGAAGAAACCCTGCAGCATTTGCCAAGGGAAACACCTCCTAGCCCTTCATGAGATAAACTTGAGGCCAGGGAGAAGCAATAAGGAGGCTGCAAGGAAGGAAGAGAGCTGTCTGACTAGCTCTGCCTCTGACTCCCTCTACCTCGACCGACCTGGAGTCAGCCCTCGGGTCATGTTAAAGGTCGTCCCGGTGCTTCTACATCACGAAGGGCGTAGTCTCAGCACCTTCGCTCTGCTGGATGATGGTTCAGAGCGGTCCATGCTGTTACCAGCTGCAGACAAATCACTGGGAATAAAGGGGGCTCCAGAAGATCTTCCTCTGCGGATGGTCCGGCAGGATATCCAGGTCCTCCATGGACATAAGATATCCTTTCATGTTTCTCCAACTGCAAACCCTAAAGGTCAGTTATAAGATTGACGGTGCCTTCACAGCTAGTCGCCTCAGCTTAGCTCAGCATACTTACCCCATAGAGCCACTTTAGAAGAAGTATAAACACCTCCGTGGCCTTCCCATCCCTGCCTTGAAGGATGCCAGGCCATCGCTCCTTCTTGGCTCTGATCAGTCACATCTCATAACACCTGTGGAACCAGTCAGACTTGGACCGCCTGGTGGCCCTGCAGCAGTCCACACTCGGTTGGGATAGACCTTGCAAGCTCCTGTCCGTTCTATGGGGCGGCCAGCTGACTCCGTGCAATGTCTCTTTACCTCCCTTCCACCACAGATGGATGAGCTGTATCACCATGTTGAGAGGCTCTGGCAGATGGACACTGTACCTCACCGACCTGAAAGAGAAGTGACTCGGTCCAAACAGGACCAACAAGCAGTTGCATTGCTGGACACCAAGACAGTCCGCACCGAGGTCGATGGAGTGGGGAGGTATGCTACCCCACTGCTACGTCATGCAGCCATGCCTCCATTACAAGCACCTAAGGAGTCAGTCATGGCTCTTCTGCGGAGTACGGAGCGGCGACTCCTGAAAGATCCTGAGCGAGCAGCGATCTACAGAGCAGAAATGCAGAAGCTCATTGGAGCAGGAGGGGTGCAAGAGGTCACCGAAGAGAAACCACCTGAGGAGTATTGGTACATTCCCCATCACCTAGTCGCTCACAATGGGAAGAATCGGCTCGTCTTCAACTGCTCTCACCAATACCTCGGGCAAACTCTGAACCAGTACCTACTACCCGGTCCCACCCTTGGAGCTTCTTTGGTGGGCGTCTTATTGAGGTTCCGGGAGCACCCCATTGCAGTAAGTGGAGACATCAAGGGGATGTTTCATCAGGTCCGCCTCCTTCCTGAAGATCGCCCTCTACTGAGGTTCCTGTGGCGTGACCTGAAAGTGGATGAGCCCCCAAGAGTATTTGAGTGGCAGGTCCTGCCCTTCGGTACAACTTGTAGCCCCTGTTGTGCTACGTATGCACTGCAGCGCCATGTTACTGATCATTGATATTATGGTGAATATGTATTTCTGTTGGGTTATTTATGTCATTATTGTTGTTGCACATGTACAGGAGAGTTGTATATATTTTTCTGTTTATGTAAGCACATTTGTTATTATGGAGATGAAGGTATAATGTGATTTATTATTATTATTATTTCCAGAACTGTGACAACGCAATAAATCACCGCAGTCATCAAATCTGCTGGCAAAGGAAACATATCCTGTCCTCATTCCTGTGTCCTGACCGACACTGCATCTTGTTGCTGTATAAACCTGAACGAGCTAGCATTCCTTCCCTCACAAACACTGACTACTGCCTACAAATAATGTCCCAGGAGATAAATATTCATATTTCACACAGCCTCACAAGTATAAACATAATATACTAATATTTTTTTTTTTTCTCCTCCTCTTTGATGCTTTAGAAATATATTCAGATAACGCAAAAACATTATAACGTTAGTCAATTACAGCTCCGTCCTGGAATCCAAATATTTAAACAATGTTACAAATCATCGTATAGAAAGACAGTAGAAACCTCATTAAATTCACAATATTAACATTACTAATTTTCAACCACCCCTCTTTACCATCTAGCTTCAATATGTAGTGGCAATGTACCACATCTTATCTCTGCAAAGACCAATATAATATAATATATAATATAATATAATATAATATGCCACCAATGGCAAAGAAGAAAACTGCCAGCAAGCAAACATGGATGTAAACAAATGCATGTTTATTAAGGAAACACAAGATGGGTTTCGGTGAGAAACAGTGAATGCACACTTAACTTTGTAACTTATAGACACACACATACCTTGAAGGTTTAGGAGGGTCAAAGGTCGACAAGCCTCTCGGAGAGAGATCAGGATGTTGTGAAGTCCTGCTGAGGTAACAGACGGGTTTCCTGAAAGGTTCAGACTCACCAGAGATGGACATGAAGGCAGGCACCTGGAAGGGGAAACCAAAGAGTTAAATGGAAAAACTGATAACTGCAGAGGCGAATACAGGATGACAGATAAAACCAGAGAAGACATTTCACAGTGAGATAGTGCTCTTGGTTCTCATGTGTTCACAGATAAACATTAAGACCTCTGAATGCTTAGAAGACATCATTACACTATAATTATGAACCATGCATGTTCCCACACACCTGGCCAAGGTGGCTACACTGCTGTCCGTTTGCTGCCAGACTCAGATGGGTGAGCGAAACCTCTTCCTACAAGAAGATAAAAGCCTGTTTGTGCTGTACTGATGTACAATACAGGACAAGATTTGTGTGTGAGGGCAGCAGGACAGCAGACAGGACAGGGACTCAGACACACCATCACCTAGTGGGTTCATAATGAGGTTGAGCTCCTCCAGTCACTGCGAAAGGAAACCACAAACAGCAACTTGCATGAGAAAGTATTCTATTTCTGTGAAGATAAATTCATATCAAGGGTGCAACATCTTATTCTGAAATGTGATAGATAGATGTGCGTGCTATTCGTTTCCACACTTTGGTTTCTGACACCATGTAACACCAAGTGTAATCACACTTTTATTAAAGAGCCTACAAAGTGAGACAAACTGTGTTACACCCCAACTGCATTTAGGAGTACAACTGAAATATGAGAACAATAAAAAGCATTAACTGTGTGAATCCCTGAGGAGCAGCCTTGATGTAATAACCAACATTTGACTGCCTTCTCATGAAGTGTAACGTCTTCTGAATTCACAGCAGTTCATGCAAAAGGCAACAACAACAAAAAAGATGTTCTTACCCATGGCCTGTTTCAGTCACACAGAAGATTTTATCTTTTGATATTCTGATATATGTAATTGTAAGAATTATGCATTGTATTTTTGGTGATGAAATTATACATTCATATTATAGTAAACTAACTATAGTGTCATCACAGTTTGGATCCAAACAGTGAGTTATTGGGGCAAATTATCTTCAAAAGCATGAAAACAGGGGAAACACTGATGACAGGAGGTGGAATAAAATCAGACTCGGCCAGCTGGGCTCTTTACCGGAAACGCCGGATGGCTGTGTCCCTTTAAAGCATTTACAGCCTTCTCCAGCCCTTCCCCTGTAATGTGACAGGCAGAAATGTCCAGCAGCCGAAGCCGAGGCATGGTGATTGTTGTGGCAACCAGCTCGGGGAGAAGCTTATCACTGAGACGGTTGCCAGAGATGCGCAGCTCCGTGAGGCTGGCCTGAAGTTTTAGGGCACGAAGGAGCGGGGTGAGGGAAGAGGGGGCCAAGCTGAGGCCACACACCGACACAGAAGAGCTCCCATCCTGCACCTCACACAGCCGGGTGACACGCTTGTTTTCATCTGCAGGGAGACAAAGAAATGCTCTAGGATAGGTTATCAAGATGTGTGTGTCTGCGTTTGTGTGTATTTGTGTATGTGTGTGTGTGTGTGTGTGTGTGTGTGTTGCTCACCCACTGCCAGGCTGTCACAGGCCTTCTTGTAGCGCTCGGGGAGAGGAGGGAGATCCCAGGAGCAAACTTCAGCCAAAACCTACAACACAAAACACACCATTGTAATTCTGTCTTGGTGAAAATGAGTTCATCAGTCTTCAAGGCAGGCTATTCCTCACCTCTTCATTGGTGTGCAGGACAGTCAGCAGCAGGTCCTGCGGGGACAGCAGAGCACCTTCTTTCTGCAGTGAGAGGCGTGGCAGGAGACCACGTTTCTGGGAGTAACGCTGTGCTGCCTCGTCGCACAGCCACGACACAGTGCAGGAATCAGCCTCACTGTAACACAAGCAGTGAGCAGTATATGCATCATGTTAAACCCTCAAGTTGTAAAGAAGCACATCACTGGTGCTGCTGTTGTAGCAGAATGCACCAATCACAAGTGACTTAACAGCAGTACAGTTTTAAAGATAATAAATAACAATGTCTTTCATTTATTTAAAGAAAATAACATGTAACATGTATACCAACCTTTGCAGAACTGGGATGAGGAAAACATCCTCCTGAACTCGGACCCTCATTCTGATTGGTGCAGGCATTGATGTGGGCATAGGGGCAGCCATAGTTTGAACTAGTGGCTAAAATAAACGACAAATAAAAAAATAAAAAAAGCAAGCAAAATCGACTTTAATTCTAAAGGTCTTAAGTACGCGACCATTCACAGAAACATATGTAAAATAAAATAGGAGGTACACATTTTCATGCAACTGAATTTGAAATTTTGCGGTGTGCCGCATGCAAAGTGAATACACAAAGGCACTTTAGATCTGAGATTAAGATGCCTTCTTGTTCATCTCTCTCTCATTTACCACAACATTTATCTCTGTCTAAAGTTAATCAAGAAAGAAGACAGATCCCTGACAAATGATGTTCCAGTTATGGCTCCAAGTGAAGCTGAATCTTTAATGATTGTCTAGCCATCATCAACGTTGTTCTTAATAAGTAATGTGAAGTCTCTAAGTCAAATCATAATGCATCATGTGCACGTTTTAGATATGACTCTATCTGTGACTTCTCAGAATAATGGGTAAGGGGTTCTTCCTCCTCACCTGCGTGTGTATTTGAGGTGGCGGAGGCGTTTCCGGTCTCATGTCGTCATCATCAGTAACTGTGGGGCTATGTGACCTGTTGACCTCTCGCCTTCCTAACCTGACCATCCCTGGCATTTGAGTCATTTTGACCTGGTGAGGCTTCAGAGAGCTGTTCTTTTTCAGAGAGAGACCCCTGCTGGAGGAGGAAGGAACTGCAGAACCTGAAAGATAAGAAAAGTATCAGAGAATTAAACATAAACATAAAAAAAGAAAAGAAATGTGGAGTAAAAAAAATTAAATTAAAAAAAGTTACCTCTGGAGGAAGTGCCTGTTTTGACTCATTTTCCCAGGCTGTGGCTTCCTTGTTTGGGGGAACTTCCTTTTGACTTGTGGCTCCTGGGAAACAGGGTCTGGGGCGGACAGGACGGGGAGGACTGACCGGGCAATCAGAGTCATTGTCGTCTGAGGAGCAGCTGTTATTCTAAGGAATACATATACACACAGATCATGCACTGTAAATGTTAATCTAAGGAATTCTAAAGAATAAAAACGGTGTAATCTCAATGTACCCAAAGCATTTGTAAGAAGAAAATATTTGGAATACATTTATTATAAATATTTCTATCTCTATATAAATAAATAAGCATTTGGCAGACTTTACCCCGTACAGGACAGCAGCCTCTGTTCCTCTGGCTTTGTGGCGCTGTGTTGAGCCATTGCACTGCCACCGTTTGGGGCTGGCAGGTACTGCCTTCACCTCTGAGTTCCTGTTGTTCCGGGGCCATTCTTGGCTGGGGGGACAGCCCCCTCCAGAGGATGACAGCGGCTCGGAGTTCTCAGCATCAAACAGCTGGCTGTCCTGCAGGGCATCGAAAGGCTTGGCTGGGGCAGGAGCAGCAGGCACTGTGTTAGACAGAGATAAGTGGGAAAAACTGTGGTTGAAAGGATATTTAAAAAGGCAAACCGAGGCTAAAATGGTATGACGATGCAAAGGCCTCACACCTCCCCCTGCGAGCGCCTTCCTCAGCAGTCTCTCTGTAGCGATGCACTCCTGCTTGGTGTCCTGGTCCAACTCTCTGCTGTAAGTCCTCTGCCACTGACGCAGGGTGTCCCTGGCGGTATCACCCTGACAGAGGACAAGAAAGGTGCACGCATTAGCCCCATTTGGAAGACTAGGGTGATTTCAATATTACCAGTCAGTGATTTTAATCCCATCTGGACCTCAGTAATGATAACAACCCCAATGACCTACTGTTTCTCTGGAAACTCGCTGGTCTAACTGAAAACAAATATTGGACAGCCTCTAATGTTTTATGTAGAATTTGTATTACTTGGTAGGATACCAACACAAATGTGTAAGGATGATATACTGTATATTTACTTATAAGTTTTAAGGATCTCTTCTCTGACACATAACTAAATTATGGTTACTGGCTGGAGAAGAACGAAAGCAAAAGTTCGGAAAATTTAACATTTATTTAACGCAGTTGCAGATACCCGTCCCTTTGTTACTGTAATAACTCAAATAAATCATTCTCTATTATAGAACCAGTGCCTGTAATTCACCAGAGGCTCAAATGCCACACACACCTTGGAGTTGCGTAGGGTGACAGAAGCCCCTCGTTCCACCAAGAGTCTAGCAACTTTTAAATTGCCACAAGCGAGGGCATCATGGAGAGGAGTCACTCCCTCACATAAGGGACCACC